GGTGCCACGTCCCAGGCCTCGCCTGGCATGACATTTTGAGGTTCAATGGAACGAGGTCCAAAGGACGAGGTCTTAAGAGACTAAGAACGAGGTCTAGACTGCCTAGTGAGAGTGCTATAAGTGATCGATGGTTCAGAAGAACAGTCTGGTATATACGCATAACCTTATAAATGAAGCTTACTTGGCTGGAATGCGCACGGAGCCAAACGCTTCAGCGACAACGACGCCTTCTTGAGGCAAATGCTGTGATGCCATGGGTAGAGAGCCGCATGCGGCACCCAGGTTTTGTAGCTGCCCAAGGTCGGCACAGAACGACACAATGCAATGACAAGGTCGGCCCTCGCCACACATGGCTGGGGATGGCTATGGCCTTTGCACGGGCAAGATTTGGGACGCAAACCTCCTGAACTGGTGAGTTGCTCACAATTATTTCACAATCAAATAGATCTTCCAGCCTCAGCAGCTCGACGTATCCGCGACATGATCTTCTGTTATTTGGTTATGAAATCCCGTGCGTTTTAAGACTTTGCCGTTTAGGTAGCCAGGTGAGAGACGCAGCATACTGGGCAGCCTTGGGAAGCCTTGGGCACCTGGCAGATCCTGGCAGCATGCGGAAGGAGGCTGCGGACAAATCACGACCGGTGAAAAGCGTTCTCATGTGCTCATGCAGGCTCTCAAACCAAAAGTGCCAGAAACCGTGGCCAATCAACAGGCATTTCGCTTCTGGACGAATCTCTTTTTTGCGCACAAGACATCTGACTTCTTTAAGCCGCTCTAAGTATATACAGGCCGGATATATCTAAATCCTTTCAAACAGCTTGGGCCTCTCTTTCCGAAACAACCTGGCAGGCTCCTGCATGACTCACGCCAACCTCTTCGGCATCTTCGGTTCCAAAAAGGCACCAGACGCGGCCACACCCGAATCCGCTTCCCCGAGCGAATCCGCCGCTAGCGAAGCACCGAGCGAAGCACCGGGGGACCGAGTTCTGCAGTGACACGAAGGCCACAAAGGCCACCAAGGCCAAGAAGGCCAAAGCAAAACCCTCAGGCTGTCCACCCTTTTGGAAGATGACACTTCTGGACTCCTTGTGGGCCTAGTGAAACATATATTGGACCGCCTGTGAGCAAAAGTTCCGATTCTGGTGCAAAAGGCAGCACCAGAAATATAGCGTATTAATCGATTTGACACTTAAGAATTGTTAAACCATGTTGAAACCTAAGTTCGCACATCGGCAAAGTCCAGAATAAGATCGTCCATGGGATGACGAACTTGGTATGAGCTTGTATCAGAATGACAATGGACTGTGCTCCCGGAGACATTTGAGCCACTACACCTTGAAGGCGTCAGGCATTGGCGCTTCAAGGGTAGCTTCACAAGCAATGACAAGCATGCGTAGGGTCTTCTCCAGCGGATCAGCGGATCAACCCAAACTTCCCTTTTTTGGACCTCCACTTCAGCTTGGACGGCCAACAGAGCTTGTCACGAAGGAAGCACTGCAACTTGGCAACTTGGCAGGGTGAAGATGGAAGACGCAGGACTGGCACCGAACTCATTGTGTGTTTACAACTTGGATTCATAGGCAACCTGTCGCAATTTGGAAAACCTGTCGGTTGCCGTGTGGCATGTGGCATTCAGACCGAACGAAGCATATTCCAAGTGTGTGAACCTGAAGTGGCTGCCTGTGTCACGCAATCCGTCGCATGAGCCCAGCAAGCAGCAATCCGTTGAATCCTGCCTGACATCAACATGTTCAGCTATACTCCAAAACTGCAGGCCGACATCGCTGTCTTGAAGCTTCCGTCCAGATCGGCCCTTCACACATCGAGGTGACAGCGAAACAGCTTGGAGTTTCCAACATCTATCGCTGCCAACAGCGAGCTCGGGGGGAAGCTGCTTGTCCATCCTGAGCTCCCTGCAGCTGACCGACAGTCAGCAACTGAGTTTGGACCAACAGGCACAAACTCGGAAACTGCTGTTGTTTGGACTTCTTGGGCACTTAGTTATACATACATAACATATATATAGAAAGGCGTATATCTTTCCGAACCCAGGGCCTTGTGGGAGTCGGGCGTCGGCCTCGTTTTTTCAAACAATTTGTAAGCCAGAGTGGCAGTCCTCTGGGCCTTCAGCCCTTTTTCAGTGTCCTCTTCAACATGCCGCTGGTGAAGAACTATTCCATGAAGCAAGTCTTCACTGTTTACGTGGTCTCTGAGACATATTGGAGGTGAGCGGAGCTTGGATACAGCTTCAGTGGATTTGAAGAGAGAGGTAGATCCTTTGGCCCTGGCTGGGTTGACTACGGTTCACTGGTCTATTCTCCGAACCTTCCAGGGGGTCCTTGCGACGCCTGCGAGGTCCACTCCTCGTCCGTTTTTCAGCTGGACGTCGAGTGAAGCTCGAGACACCGAATCGGACAGAAAGACCTGGCACAGACCTAGAAGCGGACACAAAGCCATGGCACAAGTGCTGAATCTTCTTAAGGCCCCCCCAAACAGAACAGTTCTGCGGGAACATGCATGGCCTGCCCACATGCCAGCTTGTAGCTGGCGAGTGATGGTAAATGTCTGGGCACTGTTGCGTGCTCTGGTCCAATCTGAAAAGACTTCACCATCCTTCAGTCCTTCCTTCTGAGACTGAAGGTCTCGGAAGAAGAAGAACTTGCCCATGAATGGCCACACGTCGGTCACCTTGGGCCAGAAGACGTCAAGGGCCGAAGAGCACCGATCCTGGCGGGGCCTCAGACTTCACCGATTCCTCACTTCGGTGGACGACCGAGACCTGACAGGTCCTCGAGGAAACAGAAGAGAGGCGCAGGGGCGGCTTTGGAGCGGTGCGGGGCGGGGTTTGATGGAGGTCATGACATCACACAAAACTCGGCAAGGGCAGATAGACATGGGTCATGACGGTCATGACGTTTCAATTGCAGTGAAGCTGATGAGCTCATCGACGGCAGCGCTGCCATCACATGCCAGGCCGGTGTCATGGGTAAATTCCGCCTCTGCTAGGATAACCTCTTGTCGAGCAAAAGAGACACAAGAGCAAGACTCAATCTTGTGCTCACGGCATTGGAGCGCTTCATCACTACTGGCCTTAGTCTAACTCAGGTAGCGAATGCTGTACCATGTAACATCATACGACACATGTACCTGAAGATGCTAGTCAACAGCCATTATCTCATCACATGCCACACATGACATGACTTTACCAAATCATCTTGACCATGGTTGCCATGCTTTGGCCGATCAAAGTGTCAAACATGGCTGAGAACGTGCGAGGAAGTTTGGCACCCGAGGAACTTTCAAGGTCCCGAACTGACGAGGTCCCGTATCTCCGCACTGGGGGGCCCACCCGATCCGGAGAGCACGAGGTTTGGGGTGGATTTTACTTTAACCATCTTTAACCACACACCATGCTGTACTGATTGGGGCTTGGAAAAGCGAGGCAAGGCTAGGCCTAGGATTCTGTGCACCCTCTTTCAACTCCCAGGGTTTCTTTCGTGGCATCACCTTTTCCCAAACTTTCGAACAGGCCCCTGCGTATCCCATGACGACCCACGATCGGACGTCCGGAAGCATCCATAGCAGCAGGGGACTGGAGCCTCAAAAACAACATGACTTGCAAGGGCCCGGATCCTTAGGGGATGAAATGACAATGCACGAGATGCAACATCGATTCCTGGATGGAGCTTGTCTCCCACAAAAAAGAACTCGTTCACTCCTGGTGAGGGGGGCAAAATCAGCTGAAACCCGTGGTCGGAAGCCCCCAAAAATGGATGAATCCTCCAGAACTGTCCAAGCAGGACCCACTTGCGGAGAAAAACAAGGAACACATGAAAAACCAGCATGCGCCCTCGAACTCAAACTCAACATCCTGGGCCCAACGATGCTCTTTTCCGCCGTAAGCCCATCAAAACCTTGGAGCAAACTACTCGAAGGTGTACTTCTGCAACCACGGCAGGGCTGAACGTGCTACGTGCACCTACGTTGCAGAGTGTGTGGCACGAACATCCATGGGCCGGCCGGCTCAGCGTTTCGCCAACAACCCTAGGCTTCACAGTCGGCCACTGAGCATCGGTTTACCCCAATTCCAAGGACTCTGCGAAGGCTTTATAGATCGGCTCTGTGTGGGCATCGGCTCAGCGTTTCGCGGCTGACGGAATCCCGCTGGCACCGTTTGCCGCGTGCGGAAGCTTCCGTGCCTGTTTTGCTTCGGACCCTAAAGCGGACGTGACACGGATGGATAGGGCGGGTGGTTGGGGCCTCGGCATGTGAGGAGTTCAGTCGTGGAGGACGGGGGAAACCATCCCCTCCAATGGACTCGTTCTGATCTTGTACCAGTGGCCTGGATCAGTGGTGAACCACTGCAGGGCTTCAAAAAGGTCTGAAAGAACATAACGGTAGCGCTGTTGAGACTGATATGGAGGATGATGGAGGATCACGATCATGGAGGTGTTTGCTGTCCAAACGTTTTTGGCCTCTATCTACTAGTCGACGCTTCATCACTCGCGCGTGTGTTCTTCATAGTAGCGGCCGGGACGTTTTGAGAGCCGACACGGTTAAAGAGCATCAAAGAGGTGTACGAAGTGTCAATGCGAAGAGCCAGGTGAGCGCTCTTCACCTCATGGCGCTCCAGGGCTGGCAGGAGATGGGGTCATAGTGTGCTGCTACTTGTGGTACTCGGCTACTCAGTCTGCGGAGGACACAAATCACAGCAGCTGCTTGGATCAGCTTTGAGTGCTACACCGCGAAATCAGCAAGTGATGCCCGACATCTTCAGAAGCTATGGTGTCTGCAATCATGGCGATCATGGCTGGGTGCTGCTAAGGAAGTTGCCATGCCTGAAGTCACCCCATCACTCTTGAAGCTGGGTAGCTTGCTTAAACCAAAGGTGAACGTCTATACTGATGGGTTGTGGCAGGCGCTAGCCTAAGCCCCCGTGATGTCGGCCTAGCCTCAACGGCCCGCCGGTGATCCGGATCTCGCCCGTCAGGTGGTCCGGCCTCGTAGGTGGTACCAGCTTCCAGAGGTTCCACGACGCACCTGGGCCATCGAGGGGAGGAGGCGCCAGATCCAGTGATGCTTCATCAGGGTTCATCTGCAGAGGATGTGGAAGAAAGCGGAAAGTTAGAGAAGCGCAAACGCCATCCAAAAGGCCGGCTTCGCCATCCAGAGAGATGGTTCAAAGAGGGAACTGCTAAGGGTTACACGGTTATACTCGCGCATCACATGGTTGATGGCACCCCCTGTTTGTACCAGGAAAGTCGTCTTCCAGTACCCCATGCCATCCAGGTAACCATGTGATGTCTTCGTCCAGGTGCCAAGTGTATTCTATAGAAGTTCTCCCCCTGGCAAAATGGAAAGATCTCGTCGTGAGGCCCAGCAGTTCTTCATCTTTTTGTCTGGCTCATGAATGCAATTTCCACACACAGTCCACACTTTTGGTGTGGCGAAACGACTGTCCTTTCGGTCGGTGAAAACGACTTCGACCTTTTTGCATGTTCGTTCCAGACTATGGACCTGACTATTGAGGATTCAGGATTCTGCCATGATTCTGCCATGTGAGGTATTGAGGGAATTGAACAGGATTGAGCTTCAAAACCTTTCCATTACAACAACATGCCACTGTCAGGCGCTGGAGTCCGCTGGAGTTGTGAGCATATGCGAGAGAATTCACGCGTCGGAAACCATGCATGCACCATACACTTCCATTGTCTTCAACATGGAACTAGTATCCCTCCCCCTTCCCATTCTTTCCCTCACCTCTTAGCCACCAGGCCCAACCCCCTTCCACGGCCAGGCCCCCGGGCTCTCGCAGGGTCCAATCGTTGCACGCGCTTTGGGGGATCCACGTCTCTGAGCCCTGCCGAGCGGTGCGGCCGCTGGTGGCCTGGTCTTCAGTGAGTTGCAGATCGGTTCCATGACATGGATGGCCTCGTAAAGCAATGGTCGTTCGGTCACAACCATGACATCAATGATGGTTGAAATCCTACATGGTATATATACGCATATGGTATACATTAAATAGCCCACAAACGCAAGTGGCTATAGCTGCTATAGCTATCATTTCCCTTTCCTCACAACTCTCCCAAACATCTGCCGCGTGCGCCCCCTCGTGCCGCTCGCCGCGGTGGTGGCGCAGTTCCGAACCGCGGACGACTGCGCCTCGACGGCCAACTCCACAAGGATCTCCGCACACTCGCAGCCTGACGGCCACGAGGTGGAAAACGGCTGAGCGGGGAGAAAGAGGAGCAAAGGCCACACTTACGGCGGCAGCTTTTCAGAGCCGTTTTGGCGGTTGGACAGCGGACACTGGCAACTTGCAGTTCTTATGCGCTCAGAACATGTCGTATGGGTAGTTAGTGCATGTGCTTTTGCCTGGCGAAAGAAACAAAAAACACTAACTCCTTTCAACTTACTGTACTTTCGTTAGGCAGTTAGCCTAACAGCCTCACGTCAGAAGCGCCGAAAACTGCCTTTTTCTTTAAGGAACCAAAGTGGAAGGGTTACGTCAATCCGACCAACCTCCTAAGGGTCCGACGATGTGATGCCGGGCTCTAGGATTCCGTGATGTGGGCCATTCTTCGTCTTATCTATGAAGACAGGGGAAGGAAAGCAATTCTTCCAACTTCAAAGTGCCGTGTGGTGTGAGCCGCCCTGAAATTTCCTAGAGGAAGCTCTTGAGTTTGTGACCGCAAAGAAAGAACATGATACCAAGAGACCGATTATAAAAACGGGCTGTTCAGTTCACACGCCTGCCAAACCGCCGGTGAACCCCTTGAAGCCCTGCGCTGCCCCCCATGCCTGCCAGACCACCAGCCAAACGCAAGGGGTGCACCACGGTGACCTTAGCCAGTTGCGGCCATGCGATGGGAGTGGTCTTAATGGGCCATCGGAAGCACCGCATGGAAGCTTCATGAAGCTTCAGTCGTATCTGGTTGCATCACTTCTCAGAGATCCGCGGTTCTACCAGAAAGATCGTGAGAACTGCATGGTTTTACGTTCTCTTGCCACCCGTAGGTGCTGGCCGAAACATGACTCCAACATGACATACGTGCGGACTGAAACAGGGGCAGGTGCCCCTGTGTTTCCGGTCCAAAGAAATGACAGGAATTGAAGGCAACCCGAATGCTGAGCGTTCGCAGCGCGACTGGTCCCTCAGATTGGTGACGAACCCAGACCCCTGACCGAGTTCGGATTCGGGTCCGAAGCCCTCCAAAGCATTCGGGGCCGAATGGGTCGCATCTGGGTATCAGATGAATTTCGCCATCTCGGGTCGCAACGAAAGAGGGTGGTCTTTCATCACCGCTGGACTGGTCTTTTGAGCACCAAGCAGAGAGAGAGGGAGAGAGACGGGTTGGACGACGCTCGAACCCTAGCGAAAGCCGCAAACACTTGGGGTCAACCCACATGTCAAGACTAGCACCGATGGGAGAAGCACCACTCTGATGATTTCAGCTCTCCCAAAGACATTCTGCAGATGGCAAACCATTCCCAAATAGCAAAATAGGAGGAACCAACCAAAGTGAAGCTATACCAATGAGCCAAGATCCAGCCATTAGATGCTGCCACTTTGCCATCAACAGCTAATCTTGCCAGGTGGAGGCCAAGGATCTCCCAAAAACAAGATCTCATCTCATTGAAAGCAACATGGCTACATGTATCTTAAGGACAATCTATGGTGCACCTATATAGGGCCATGTATCAGAGCACCACCCACACCCCTGTCCCACCATCCCATCCCATCGCCCCTGTCCATCCTTTCGTTTCACGCCGCGCGTGCCGTCGTCCGCCCCGAGGCGCTGATTGATTGTCTCGTGGCGCCAAGAGCAACGACTCGGGTCCGATCGCCTCGTGAGTCGGCGACCGCTGAAACCGGTCGGCGGGTCCGATCGTGGTCGCGAAACGTGGACGACCCGAGGGACGACCAGTGTCGGGTTACGACCTTTTGAGAGGTGAAGGAGAAAGTAGAGTTGACTTGATAACAATGGTATGAGTCATGGAGTTAGACCAGTTTTTTTCTTTTTGTATTCTTTTTTAGATGTTCTCAGCAGGTACAACAGAATATGTTGAATGACTATTAACTCAGCTTCTTCCCTTTGTGATCAAGGTCGATGGTCTAAGCTTGGTGACCTTGTCAAACAGGCGATGACCAAAGTAACCAGTAGATCAAGTTCGGTGACGAAGAACTAAAGTGTTTCAGGTGGCTGCTTCATAACATACCCATTCATACCCTTTGCATTTCTATCTTGTTACTAAGTTGGCAGACTCGAACAAAGGCTGTGGTACTTGTGCCATCTTGTGCCACTGATGTGACACTTGTATACTTACTGTGACAACCACGGCCAAGGTCGTGTTTTTTTACTGTTCATCTTTCTTTTACATTGATCGAAGGGTGTGTATGAAAATAGGGAGACCTCTCAAAGACCCCTGGAAGAAAGTAAATAGACCAAACCCCCGTGGTGGGGGGTCTCCCTATTGAAATACACAGAACGAGATTCCAGGTTCCTGTGACCGATCTGCAGCTTCAAACCGCCACGACGTCTAACGCTTGGACCGAAGGACCAAGAAACATCGACCGAAGGGGTGGCCTAATGGCCCTGCGCATGGCACTTTTTCTCCACATCAGATTCACCAGATTCACCAGATCTTCGGTTCGGGTGATGGAACCAGCGCATCTGCTGGTCGGGCGAACAAATGCCTCTGTTTGGGTTCTTCGATGAGACGGTGGAAAAACCACCTTGAAAGCCTGCAGATGTGTGCACTGTGCATGTCTCGTGCATGTTCCGGATGCCAGGTGTGGAACCCACCGCATGGAACCGGGACCCGTCCGACCAGATGCGCGCGGTCCTGGAGCTGAGGCCGCAGGGAGATGGCCGACAGGGCCGGCTGCACCTCAAGGCGGAGGCACCTTAGAACCCTCGGACGCTACGAACGGGGCTCCTGGACGTATTACTGGCAACAAGAAGCTACTAGGGAACCTTCAACCCCACATGTCCAAAACTTTGCGAGAGAGGCCTTCAGGGTCTTGCCAGGCGTGAAGTATCTCGTTTTTCATCTCCTTCAGTCCCGAAAACTCCACCATAGTAGCCCCTTAACAACCCTGCAAACTCCAGTCGACCGTTCCAATAAATGGTCTGAGTATAGAGTCTAAGAGAGTACCTGATTTCGAGAACGTTCCTTGACCTGCAACTGGGGGCAACGGATCCTCTAAGAACTCTGATGTTGAAATAGTAGCTATAACTGGACTTTCCAGTTTCGGAATGCACCATGGAAGTCTGTGCCAAGTACCCACTTCGTAGACGCGCCAACAGGCCATGGACAGGAGCCATGGCCCGGTGGCGCCAGTCCATCCTCCTCCCCGCGGCCAAGGGATCGCCTTTGGGCCGATTCAGGGGATTGATGTGTCTCTATGTGACATGAACCATGTCACATAACCTATATATGTGGACTGAAAAAAACATCAGCTTCCCTCCTAGAAAAAGAATGGAGATATTTACATGGATTGTTCATGGTCATATAGTCAGTACTTTATAGAGTGGATTCATGGTTTTCGTGTCCAGAGCTCTGCTGCAGGACGTGCAGGGAAACGTCTTGGAAGCAGCCGTATCCAACGAGGAGGATCAATGACTGCCCCAAACACGAAAACACACCTGGGAAGACACTTACTCCCTGTAGCTTCCCCCCAAAAAGAAAAATCTCGCCTGGCCGCTTCCAAAGAGTTCAACACCAAAAGCAGCACCCATCAAGAAAACATCCGCAACCCACCAGGCCCACCACCAAACCAAAAATACCAGACCGGACTGGCCTCTGAACCCATCCAAAGCCCCAAAAGTCAGGACTGCCCGTCGCTCGGCTGCCCGGACGCACTCCAGGCTGAGCCGTTGGCCCCAGCCCCCAGGCACGTCCGCGCGGGTCACGTGCACGAGGCGACCTCGGTGTCTCAAGTTGTCTATCTGGTATTGTATGCAGTAAGTCGTCCTTGCGAGAGCTCATAGGGTTTCAGAGGCGATGTGTACCTTGAACCCTGCGATGATGCGAGGTCCAAGAATCTACGCTTCGTGGCAGCAACTCAAGGCTTTCTCTGACCTCTCCCGGATCTCTGACCTCACCACCTGCTCACCACACCACACTCCCTCGCCTAATGGTGCACATGCATCTGGGGTTCCCGTCTGTCGCTGCTGTCGTGACAAAGGAAGAATTCATCCGCACAGCATTCCTGGTCTGTCTGATGTCCATCGGATTCGATCGTTCGTCAAGGCGGCAGACGGGAACGGATAGGCGGCTGGCGGTGCATGAAGCGCGCTGCGGTGCTGGGCGCGGCGCTGTCTCCAACACCCAAAATGGGAAATAGATGCAACAAAAACAAAAACAATATCAATATCATTAGATTTCGATACAAAGGATCAAGAAGTATCAAGGATTATCAAGGAATATACTCAACCCCGTTCGACTGCTTGATTCTCTCTGAATCTTTTCTTCCAAAGAGAATGCAGCAGCCCAAAGACCACACCGCACCTTCTGCACGTAGCATCGCGATGGCATGGCAGACAAGGTCAAGGAGACCTCCAGACAGAACAGGGGTCTCAAACTTGGCCCCACGGTGGGTGTTTGAGAATCTCTCAACCCTTCACCAAGTTTGGTGGGTCAAATGCGCTGAACATCTCCGTTCGAAATCACATCGGCCAAGAAATCCAAACCCCGCAAATTCACCATGACCCATTGCTTTGCCGTCGGTATACATGTGGATGGAGTCTTTCGAAGGGAAAAATCCACCTGTTTGACTTCGGATTTCATGGCTCATTCGAGTCTTGGGGGCCGTGCCATGAAAAGACAACCATGCACCGTTGACTTCCGTGAACGACCATTCAAAAACATGGGAACGACCTGGTGTTTAGCGTGTAAAACCGTAAAACAATGGTGCTTCGGGATGACCTGGCTATTCAAACAATGGTGGACCGCGACTTCGGCATGATGATTCCAGGGAGTCGCCCATATGGGAAATACCTGTGGTTGCTCTCATAGTGCCCTGAGTCAGCTCCACGGATGTGAACGCCTTTCAACCGATTCCGCGTCGCTGCCCCCTCACAGCCAGCTGAACCCGAAAAGAGAAGGTACACAGACTCACTATCTCGTACCTTGTGAGAAGGTGGGACTGGGGTGGGTGCCAGGAGGGCCCAAACACCGAACCTGAGGAGGTACGACTGGAGCCCCAGGGTATAACATGGAACTCAGGAAAATAGAAGACCATGGAACACCGCAGAAAACCACTCGCCTACCCTCCAACAGCAGAAAAATAACCGCAGAAAACCGCAGAACACCTACCCTCCAGCTCAACTCTCTCACCCTCCAACCCCGCTGAAACCCAGCGGGTTGCTACCGCGGGGTCGACCCCCGCCGTGTGCTGGTCGCTGGTGCCGATGAAGGTGCTCCACTCCCCCGGCCTGAGCGAGCGCAAACGAACGGAGCATCAAAGGGCATCGCTACGTTCGGGGCTCCTGGCCTTACTAGGAACAAGGAGCCATTAGAAACAAGAAATACATAGAATTAACATAGAATTGAGGTTAATTAGAACTTTTTTCGTCTTCAGTCCATGACAAGCCAAGCTTGCCATCTCTATTCTAGTACGTATACTCTAAAGATTTGACATGATTTCACATGTACGTGCCAGGAGCTTCAGGAGCCCCCGTTTCGGCGTGTTCATGTACAGCCCCGTGTATAACAAGTGATCTGAAGCGCATCACTCTCGCGTGTCCTGGTATGAACCACCCGGCCACAACTCTGGTCACCCTTCCTACGGCTGCGGGATCCACACACACACACACTTAGATAGATAGCTCGCAAGAGTAACGGTTCAGAGCTTGACTCAACGAATGCATTAGCCCTTTAGGGCATGAGCTCTTGACTGCGCAACAACGGATTGGAACAGCTTAAGCGTTACGTCGAAGACTTCTGGTGAAACGAAATCAGCAGGTACGTTCAGCACTCTGTGCACCGACAAAAGCCACCAAATCCACCCATAAATATATCTTCAATATAGACTGTTGATAAACATCAGCTTCCATACCCAGGCGCTCCATGTATGCCATACTGTACGCCATATATCCCTACATTGACCCCCCAAACCACCCCAATGTATAGGCATATATGGCCATCCCATTAGTCGTGTCTGGGATATAAAGATATTTTACAATCGTTTTTGTCTAACGCATCCAACTCCAAAGCCTCACAAAAGCCGGCCCAACACCACCGGCCGACCGGCTAGACTGTCCCCCTCCGGTTTTGACCGACCGGGGGCCGACCGAACATGAACAGATGAGCCAGGTCAACCTTCCAGGGTTCAACAGCTGGTTTTGAGCAGCCAGTTCCTCCCCCCAAAAAGATTCAGAATAAGCAATGCCAAAAAAGGATCAAATGGTCTTCCCCACAAAATGAGAGATATCGAGAGTACACAAAGCACAGATGTGATCCCTCCTGTCGGTGGATTTTCGTTCTTCGGCCCAGTGACAGGGTCCAAAAGACCGCGCTGGCGTTGCTAAGGCTGGGCAAGGACCACGGGTTCTCACATGCCTCCGAAGGCGGCGCGTTGCTTCTGGAAACGACGCACGCGGCCGGCGCGTTCTGCCGCGCACCCGGTATCTCTCAGGACCCATCAGCTCAGCTTTCCGCATGCTGCTTCGGAGGATGCTTCGGATGGTTTGGGTCCTTCGTCAAGCCTTTCTTCCCAAACAGTTGATGATCCTCTTTGACCGAGGGCGAGGAGCACGGTTTTGCTGACAGGACGCTTCTGGGATCGATCAAAAGTGGATCCATGCTGATATACATGATGAGCAACAACACATCATGATATCCTCTGATTTGTTCATGATGTCCTTTGTCCTTATCTCTCTGAAAAGTGCAAGCTGTTCATTTTATCCATGAAGCCATTTCTTGATGTCTCGGGTTTGGGGGGGCAACACTTCATCCCATCTCCCTGAAATGTTAGATATCCACTGCAAATCAGCTAAACTGAACTGGTCTTGCATCAAGTGGTGACCGCTTCATGACCCCTCCAAGGGTCCACCATGACCCAAGTTTCACAGCAGGCTCTGGGTCATGGCAAGGAAAAACACGACAGAAAAAACACGAGAAACCATATGGACGACCCACAGGATGGTAGTCCACCTACAGAAGGGTGTTCACAACGATGAAACCGACCCAAATCAGATCGACCGCACTGGTGCGGTGAGGTGCGTCACAGACTCAGCGGCACAGGGTTGAGTGACGAGAGGGGATCATGAGAACTCATGACAATGATATAATATTTATATATGATATATATATTTTTTTATGTCCGAAACAAAGAACAGAACTTCAGTGTGAGGGTGTGTGAATCTCTTCCAAAGTCTTCCAACATGTAGAGACAATGCTTTGTCCAGGATATGTAGACATTCAAGTAACACCCTGCTATGTCCCAGCTGATCCAAACTGAGACTCCGCTTGTCCGTCCCCACCCGAGTCCTCTTCGTGCCATCTCATCAGATGTTAAGAAACCGCTTGACCCAAAGAACTCCACGTTTGCTATAGTTATCGAATAGTTATGTATAGATGTTCAGGAAAAAGAAACCTGTAGGCCACTCACCGAAATGTAGGCCACACTGGACCCAGTGTGATAGCCTGGGTCAATGCTGCCACCTCCCAAATCCGGACCGTGTGAACTGCGGTTTGCTTCGTCCAAAACCGGAGGACGGATCCGAAAATGGGACACCTCCTCGATCAAGATCTCATAGGCTTGGTTCCGCGCGAGTCCCGTGACCTCAGAGGTACGCGCTACAGTGGCGCCCAGAAGAGCTGGAAAATGGACCAGAGCGTGGGGGGCGGTGGTGTTCAGATGCTTTCCTGTTAGAATCAAGAACCCGACCCGTTCGGTGAAGGTTTGGTTCAGGTCCAGACCCCTGCGTTCTGCAGGGTCAAAGCCCTCCAGAAGTGGTCGGGTCCAATGATTCTTAGGGTTATATCATATACATATATATATATATACACCCTAGGGCTCCAAGTACCTTCTGAGAAGGTGTTTGGGGTCGGTTTGGAGGGTCCAAACACCTTCTGAGGAGGTACGACTGGAGCTCTAGGGATATATGATAGTCAATCCATGTTGGTCACTATTCCAGTCCGGTTCGATGGTTGTGGGACGTTCCTTCATCCGGAACTCAGCGTAAGAACTCCTTGATGGCGTTCGAACTCCTGAAGAGAACGTTCGGTGAGACTCAACGGAGCAGAATCGTGGATCCAAGTGGGTGTGTACCTAGCACTTCCTGTCCGGGTGCGGAGTAGGAGACCTGTTGACGGTAGGGTAGTCGAACGCCAGGACACCCATGTCCAGGAGGATCCTTGTCTTGGTGTGTATTCAAATACCCAAACACTCCATGTATGCCATATATTGACCCCCCTGGTACCACCCCCGGCCTGATCGGCAGTCCTATGGCAATCCCATTAGTCGTGTCTGGGATAGGTCGACCCCCCACAAAGACCCCCTTGAAAGAAGGACAATTCACGAAAACCCGTTGGTTCAAAACACAGACCCACCATTGTTGCTTGCCCCCTCAGATGGTACTTAGACCCCCAAAAGTCCACCCCAACCACCTTCAACACGGAGGTATCTAGTTGGAGTCTTAGGAATTGCAAAGCACCCAGCGAATAATGCTTGATTCCTGTTGAAACCCACCGTGGAATTACAAAGCAACCCACCGTGCCACCGTGGAAACGGCCCCGCTCACTGGCACAAGAACCCGCGACATTTTCCCCGCAGGACGCAGCTGGAGTGGACTTGGTGCCACAGCCTGCTGTACAGCAAGCACCTGAAGCGTGCATGACAGGCGCTCATTCCAAACAGGGGCCCACACGGCTCACAACCAAGTCCTGCTGTCTGCAAAACGAAGTATCCCAGACCATCCATGTATGGAACTGTTTATTTACATTGACTCCATGAAAGTGACCCTAATGTAGGCAACTATTCCATACATGGAAGGCCTGGGTACAAGCATCCCGCTTTCACCTGAATTGACAAAAGGACTGTGCTTGAAAACTCGACTGCGCGTTCACGGCAGCTGCGCGGAACCAGCGGATGCGATGCTCGCGCGCCGCAAGTCGTCGCAAACTTGTGATCCTTGTGACTGATAGCCAGGACAGACACGTCGAATTCTCGAGCAAGTTCATTCACGCTGGCAGGTCTGCAGTAGTCTGCAGTGTTCAGAACAGTGGGTACACCTGTACTTTTTCCGGTTTTCACCAAGAATCAAACACTGGGCCACAAGGAACCCGAGGGTCGGTGCTAAACCCGCGAAGAGGGTCTCATCCAGGTCGATTCTTTCAACAAACAAGAATCCGACCTTCTCAGGCTGTTCATCATGATCGAACATTCTCTGATCATGATCGGACTCTTGAGGAAAATACAGTAATCCCCTCAATTTGAATTGGAAGTCCTCTTCATATGGAAGTGTATTAATCAAGAGTCTACACGTTCGAAAACGAACATCGTGAGAACAAGAGATGATTTTGACATCCTTCATTGGAACGACTGGCGATGGAACCACCTCTCCAACCTTGCCCGAGTGGTTGTTTCCCCCCCCCACGTTTCAGCTCCACAAAGCCACCATCTCAGAGCTCGGCTTCGGGCGCTTCTCCGCGACTCTGTCGCCCTGCATTCGCCCCCTGCCCCAGCAGCACCGACTGCGCTTGCACGGCACCGAGCGCCACGCCGGGGTAGGTGTGGACGAAGTTCTTGAGAAGACCCAGCTGCTCCAGTACAGAGGCCTACCAGTTCTGAGACACTCTGAGCAAGATGGTTTCGACAAATGACATGCACAAAACAACCAACAAAACAAAACAACGAGTTTTTCTATTTGGGTTCACCCAAGAACTGAACTTGATTTGGAACCATGTTAGTAAATGTCTTGCACATAGTGCCACCCTGTGGAATCATATTCAATGCATCTGTGCAAGTTGGGTTGGGTGATGAAAACAGCTTTCAAAATCATTTAATTAAGAAGGAACACCGCCAAGTCCTGCCTGGTCCCAGTAGATATGTTCATGCTTCAACTTCCTCAAATCGCCCAGTCAAGGCTTCAACAAGATGAGGTCTGAGGGAAGGAGCAATTAGAGTGCAATCAAAGTTTTCATGACCAGTCTGCCAACGTGGACGCGTTTTCACATGCATGAAACCTTTCTGCAGTGACCGCTGTAAGCACAATCCTTGGCTCAGACCCGAGGAAAACAATCTTCCAAAGGCCAATGTTCCACTTCCCATGAGTGTTTCAGGGAGCTATAAAGGCATTTCTTATCATTTCTTGAAGAACTCTTTTCCTCCATTCTAAAGCCGAACCGTTTCATCTTCAGCTCCGCCACGCACCCATCAATCTTGCATGCCGAACCCACGAAAATCAGGAACCGCTAAGTCGACCTTAAGACACTGAGCACCGATGTTTAGTCTGTCGGTAGCCGTCTGACCTTTGAAGGTGAAGTGCTCTTTCCAAACCAAGCAAAGGCCACG